TCCACAGGTTTAGGAGTCAAGGAGACGGGACAGATATTCCTAAAGTTAATGAAGAGATTAGGCTTCGAGAAGTTTTACCTACAAGGAGGAGACTGGGGCTCCGGGATTGCCACAGAGATGGCTACGTATTATCCTGAAAAGTAGGTATTGTTCTGCATTTTGTTATTGGCAGTGTCGGTTTTTATTTTCTTTCAAGATTGTGAGAAATTAATTTGAGTGGGGGGAGGGGGAGATGGAGATGGAAGACTGTTTGTGTGGGGGGGGGCAGTTGGAACAATGATATCCAATGCGACACTGAAGGAACCCAAGGATGTCATGGGGAAGGATGTCACTGGACGATCGCCACAGACCTTCAGACCAGGAGTTCGTCAGTGCAAGAGCCAGTCGCCCCAGGATGCTATGAAAGGGAACCGCTTGCATAGATCCAATCAAACTCCTGGAGCTCATCAGTGCAGGTATCGGCCGCCCTAAGATGCCAGAGAGAGTGCCGCCTTCCCGGACGTCCGTAGATCCAGACGAGGGCTACAACCGAGGACCTGGACGAGATCTGCGAGGACGTTTGGACGAATACGCCGCCGAGTTGACCTGGACGAGGACTACGAGGAAGTCTAGAAGAATCCGAAGTCGCGGAGGCCCTGTGCGAGACCTTCAAGGACGTGTGGACGTCCAGGACGAATGGATTACGTCAAGGACCATGAAGAGGAAGAAGAAGAGGACGACAAGGATTAGCAACAAGATGGATCAAAGACAGTGCATGCGAGAACAAGATGACCAGCCAGTCAGGTCCAGACAAGATGGGTCACCCCGTCAGATGTCGCCAAGAGGGCCGTGCAATATGGCGAGCACAGCAGCATGATTTGTGTAAGCCATTAACTCAAGATCATGTCTGCAGATCAAAGTCTAAATTAAGCATCTGCCACGTGGACTCCGCCTTCGTTCAGAACCATTGCCTCAGCCTGAACCTAGTTGTCGATTATGGTTGATCCTATTTGACCCTTCAGTTCGCCTCCAGAAGTCACCGTGTAAAACTCACCACCAGCCTCCGGCCCCCTATGACTGACAGGGTGGACACGACACACCACATTTATAATGAGTCAAGCCATATAACACTACCACTGTCCAACCAGCCATCGTATTAAGGCACCTACAGCATTTTACAATTTGTGTGTGTGTGTGGTGTGTGTGTGTGTGTGTTGTGTGTGTGTGTGTTGTGTGTGTGTGTGTGCGCGTGCGTGCATTGGGGGGGGGGGGGGGGCAGTTGGAACAATGATATCCAATGCGACACTGAAGGAACCCAAGGATGTCATGTGGAAGGATGTCACTGGACGATCGCCACAGACCTTCAGACCAGGAGTTCGTCAGTGCAAGAGCCAGTCGCCCAAGGATGCTATGAAAGGGAACCGCTTGCATAGATCCAATCAAACTCCTGGAGCTCATCAGTGCAGGTATCGGCCGCCCTAAGATGCCAGAGAGAGTGCCGCCTTCCCGGACGTCCGTAGATCCAGACGAGGGCTACAACCGAGGACCTGGACGAGATCTGCGAGGACGTTTGGACGAATACGCCGCCGAGTTGACCTGGACGAGGACTACGAGGAAGTCTAGAAGAATCCGAAGTCGCGGAGGCCCTGTGCGAGACCTTCAAGGACGTGTGGACGTCCAGGACGAATGGATTACGTCAAGGACCATGAAGAGGAAGAAGAAGAGGACGACAAGGATTAGCAACAAGATGGATCAAAGACAGTGCATGCGAGAACAAGATGACCAGCCAGTCAGGTCCAGACAAGATGGGTCACCCCGTCAGATGTCGCCAAGAGGGCCGTGCAATATGGCGAGCACAGCAGCATGATTTGTGTAAGCCATTAACTCAAGATCATGTCTGCAGATCAAAGTCTAAATTAAGCATCTGCCACGTGGACTCCGCCTTCGTTCAGAACCATTGCCTCAGCCTGAACCTAGTTGTCGATTATGGTTGATCCTATTTGACCCTTCAGTTCGCCTCCAGAAGTCACCGTGTAAAACTCACCACCAGCCTCCGGCCCCCTATGACTGACAGGGCGGACACGACACACCACATTTATAATGAGTCAAGCCATATAACACTACCACTGTCCAACCAGCCATCGTATTAAGGCACCTACAGCATTTTACAATTTGTGTGTGTGTGTGTGTGTGTGTGCGCGTGCGTGCATTGGGGGGGGGGAGATATATATGTGTACGTGTGTGTGTTTTGTCTGCTTTGTTTCTTTTGTTTGATTGTTTGCTAATCTGTATACCAAAAGGTATTTTCTTTTCGCACTTCACTAATGATATAACAGTACACTTGAAAATGCGAAACCATTATTAATCCAATTCCTAATAACAATTGTTTATAGTGAAGCTTTAAGCGGTACATTTCTGATTAAATCACTGATAATTCTAAATACCTATGATGACTTAGATTTTTTTGTCATATTGTATCGACTGATAGTCATAGTTCAGTATAATAGTCAATACTAAGTTT